ATAATTACCAAGATAATACCAAGATTAACAAAAAAGTTTCTAATTCATTATGTAACATATAAATAGCAAATATTTAATGGCAGGTAGTCATTTCCTTGTTGTTGCATGACATCCGTTGTGATGAAAGTACCGAGTATGAGAATCTGGTTGGTATTTTGAATATGAGAATAGGCGGAACCACACAATCAAGCATTTGCATTTTTAGTAAAAATTGAAACTGTTTCACTGTTTTTGGATTTTCCCTAAGTTCTTGAGTACGTAACAAAGTCACAGACATCTCCCATATTGCCAGAGGCTGTAGAGTTTTCTTTCATTTTCTGTGTGCATTTGAAATCGGTATTATAGCTAATTCCTATACTCACGTTACAAATCTTAATTAGTTTGACTATTAAAATCAACACTACTGCACTGTTCAAAACATACATGCATACTTCATGAAAAAATTTAAAATTCTTACTTACAATAAAAAGATAAAAATTCTTAAAATAAATTTCTTACCTGCAGCACTGTTTAACCACAAGTGGTTGTTTACCCAGATAGATGTGACGAATGCTATCCAGTGTTTGTTCTGTCTGCATTGCTCCTTCAACAGGGCTCAGATCAGGTACAAAATGGAGACAATCTGGTTCTGTGCCAAATTCCAACTGAAAATTGAATCAAAAAAATTATCGGCCAAACACAAGATTTACCTACCTTCACAATTATACTAAAACAAATTAAATAAAAAAAATAACCTCCAGTTGTTCCTTTATATTTTTGTGGTATATTCCATTCAACTACATCAGGAAAACTTTTTCATTGTATTAATATTGAATTTATTGTATTGGATTGTAGTACAAAATACTAATTTGTTTTGTCTAAGAAAAGGCAGTTATTTTCAAGATAAATGCTTGTGTGTGTGTGTGTGTGTGTTTATATGGATGAATGTGGAAAGAGGAATAAAGAGATATAAACAATTTTAGTCTTCTAATTACTTAATTTGAAGATTGTGAACCTCGTTACCCAATAATTTAAAAACTTCCTCTCCGTGGTACTTAATTACTCCACTCCATACTAATGGAAATTGTTTTTCATTAGATTATGGATACTTATTGTCTATTTCTTCATTTTTAATTGAACTTATATTATTTCTTAAATCAAAAAAATTTTCAAATCTGCCATATTAACACATTTCAGCTATAAGATATATAATTTTTGGAAACCATTATCCGACAGAAAATAACTGAAACAGTCAAACAAAAAATAGTCTGAATAGTTTGATTTAGGGCAAGATTAATACAATAAGATAAAGAAGGAACTTCTGATTTGGATGTTACATTTAATCAAGAATTTTCTGTAAATTTTAATTTAAAAATTATAATTTACTTTTGCAACTTAAAATTAACTGATACGAATTTTGTTCTAGTTGAAAAGTCATCAACAGAAATTTCACTTTATTGGAAGCAGTAAGTAAATAAAACTGGTTTAGTTAAGTAAACTGACCCTAATCCACTTACCTGGATTGGCAAACTCTGGTAAAACAACACTGGTGAAGCAACAGCCACCATGCGAACAGGGGGTTGAAGGGTGGGGACCATCACTTGATTGGGTAACAAGCAACAATCATCTGAAATTTAAGAATTCATCAATGTATCAATTAGTTTTCTTGACATTCAAAATATTAACTATTTTAACAATTTTTGTAAAGTGGTCAGATCTAAATCAATACTTACAAGATCTCATTCATTATTAAGAAAGTCGGTCATTATGATTGATAAATAGTAAACAAAATGTGATAACATATAAAACGGATACCAAATTAAGTTCTTCTACTGTCTGAATTTGAATTAATTTTTTTCCGTACACACTACATACAATACAATAAAATCTGTTCTTTGCAACAACGTACCTTCACAATGAATTGAGCAATGCAAAACAACTTACTTCAAGAACAAAGATCTAGTATTACAGAATGAATTGACAACATACTGAGTACATTACAGAAGTACTGATGGAAACTTAATCAAAATGAATGTATATTAATAGCTACAAAATAATTTTAAATCACAAAACACTAAACTATCTGTAACAAAAAATTTTGACTAGTTATTGAAAAATACTTCATACAATACTCTCAAATTATAAATAAAGTGATCAAAAGAGTTTGCAAATTATACCCTGATATTGCAGTGCAAATATTTATTCAAAAAGAGGGAGAAATGGGGACATTTTTATGAGGGTTCACAGAATTTCTGAACTCCTAGGAACAGGTAAATACGTTATATGAAAATGGCAAATCAATTATTAACATTCCTGTGCTTAATAAATCATGAAAATAAATGATTTACATACAGTTTTAATTGTGCACAATCATCTGAATGCAACAAATTGAAAATGAACCCCAGCCTCTCAATCATCATTACAATGAAAAAATTTAACTTTACAATAACTCCAAATCAAACAAAAGTAATAGTGTTCATAGATTCCCGTTCCACAAAATGCAAAATTGTTCTAAAAAATATTCTGAACAACAGAAGTAATAAAAAAATTTATCTTTCCAATAGTTTTATTTAGAAAATTAGTAACCTAGTAAGATTCTGGATCAAAAGAGGAATTATGAAAACAAATGAAAATAAATAAAAGTATATAATTTAAAACCAAACTACATCAACTGACGAAAAAATTCCATTTGATAGCATATTGCAAATGGATAAGACAAAATTTTCATAACTAGAATTCCAATATCAATGTGAAGGTTGTCATAACATCGAGTGTCTATGTACCAAACAGTGACTTGAATGACAGAGATGACTTGAATGTTCTATTTTCAAATATCTTCTAAAATTTGGAATAGGCTACTAAACGTAATCCAAGTCTGACAATAACAATTATGTTTGTTTCATTGCCAACTCATGCAAAACATCCAAGTCACACAAACCAAGACATTTCTATGATCGGTGTTTATGTGATTCTAGGCAATACTTTCATGAGCTTAGTCTGATGACCAGATGCAGATAACAGACTCTTGAGGATGCAATACAAAACACAGCTCTCACAGTGTGGAAAATAACACAGGAACATAAAATGAAGATTTCAATCAAGAGAAGAATAGTAATTGTGTTCCAAGGAAACAGTAAAGAGCTGAGAGAGTAATAGAAAGATCAATCCTAGAACTAAAGAATAACTACATATGAAACCATTAGATAAGAACACAGGCACATCGTTAATAAAATAAATAAATTCTTCATAAAGAATGAGGCAATTAAAAACCATTTTGAAAAAGGATGTGAACAAAGACATCTAACTTAAAATACATTAACTAAGAGCCATTCCAATGTTAATGTATTGGTTAGAAGTAGATATTAAGAAAGGGAGAGCAACAACAAACAGAAGCTGCCCAAATAAGATTTTTGAAACATCTGCTAGGAATAACAAAGGGAAATATACAATGAAATTAAAACATTAGACCTAAAAAGTGAAAAACACAATAAAGCAAATAGAATATGGTCAAGACTGACAGCTGGCACATATCGAAAGAATAAAAAAGAAAAGGTTCCCTAGAATAGTTCTACATTACACACCAGAAGGAAGAAGAAATATAGGAAGATCCAAAATGAAGTTGGGAAAAGCAGGAATACTTAATAAACTAAACCACCAAGTAAACTTAAAAGTAACAAGTTGAACAGTCTAATCGCCTGAGCATTCACGATGATTATATTAAAGAACAATTTTAACAACCTGATCTCACCTTCTAACAAGACTAATTCAGAGATATGCTTGAATCCATGAGCTTATAGAATCAATTAAAAAATAAAATGCATAGTCCTGAAATTCATTAGGTTTCATATCAATATCTCATTAAATGATGGGTCACAAAATATAAAGAAACAGCATGTTTAATTCTTTTTCAATTTATTAGCTGAATGTCATGAATATTTCACATACGTCTTCTTATGCTAACACACAAAAGAATACATACTAAAATCCCAAGACATAATTGAATTGAGAATATAGTACATTTCCTTGTCAACAAGAACTGCAATACTTAACAGTAACAACAGAACATACATTTTTAAATAAACAACAATGAAAGTAAAATTAAAATCTTCTCTGCACTTTGCTGTGCAGCAAAATAAAAGTTACCTATGAATCAAAATAGTTGTACAATCAATGAATGAACACTAATACTCACCATAAGTCTACACCATTCATTATAATTAATACGAATTCCTTAATAAACTTTTGTACTGAATTAGTATTCAACATATTTGAGCTAACCTTTTTGATCCTGACATTAAGTGGTTTGAAAACTGCATTTGGGACACACTGTCTGGCGGATTATTGCATGAAATTTGATTGAAAGTATCTGCATTGTTTACTTGTGACAGATAATTAATAATAATATGTTACTTCTTTTAACGTTGACGGAGTAAAAAGTGAGACAAACTATATTTTTTCTCTCTTGCAAGAAGTAATTATTCTATTTTTGGGAAGTATAATATCTTTTGTATTATGAGTATCTGAGAAAGTTTATATTGTAGCTGGCATTTAGTATTTCAGTTTTCTGGGCTGTAATCAACAGTCCTTTTGAGTACAGAAAAGAACAGCCTTGCTAGAACAGCAGCACAATCTCCAAATGATCCACAAGAATGAATACATTTCAAAAGGTTCAATAGAGGAAGTGCTGATATTGTGCAATACAGAATTTCAAAATGGGAAATATTCTTTGGGAAACATCTTCATGCCACAAAGAAAGAATTAACTATAGGAATAATTTTTCAACTTTTTAAAAATAAAATTGCAATAAAAAACGCAATGCACCACTGAAACTACTGCACTTCGCAAGACTGAAGGTTATTTACATTTTCAAACACAAGAAAATTATATTTAAAATTGCTTTGAAAAATAAATGTAAATTTGGAAGAATTTCTTTTTTCTCTTTCTTGGCCTTCTTCATTAAATAATATGCACGTGACTGATGTTTTACAGTCTGAATATTTTATGACTTTGCCAATCTTTCAGAACTTATGACCACCTCAGTAAAGCAAAATACAATTTGTTTCATTTAAGCAAATGATTAAAAAATTTTGAATAATTGTATTCATGATTCTCACAGTACGATTAAGTCATGGTTGTCCCAAACATTTTTGCACAAACTGAAGAAAATCTGGATCACAAAGGTAAATTAAACCTACTAAAAAATAAGAAAGTATAAACATAAATCTTTCAAATTGCCAAAAGCATTCATTCAGACATATTATTAGCAATTAAAGCATGAACAATTAATTAGAGAACTAACACAAATAAACCGAGTATCTCATATCAACAAAATTAAACTTTTAAAATGTAGAGGAGTCCTTACAGTATAAAACTCTCAATATATTTTAAACAAAACAATACATTCACTTCTCAATATTTTTGGAGCTGTATTTAGAAATGCAATTGTACAATTCCAACTTCAATCAGGTGCTATTGTTTACTTTTCCATAACTGTTGCTAAGAACTACATCTTTAACACAAGACATTCCCACATTATCACAAGACATTCAACCAATTGTTAATTGTTAAAATCACTGGTCTACTTCAAGGAATACAGAATCATTATCAGTGTCTTCACTGGCCAATCTAGGAGCACTCCTTTCTCGATTCATTGCTTCTTGTTCAATGCGTATAAATGCTTCAAGGTTGTTTGACGCATAATCTTTGGAAAGAATCACCCAACGACCTTCTGCTGGCCTAACTGTCACTTCTATGGGTTTAGCTGAGTTTTCCTCACTTGAAGGTGACACTGCTATACTGCTTTGCTTTGTCTCCCACCGACTGATGTGACATGACTGAGACAATTTTGGCTGGATAGTCATTTGAACCTCTGATGTTATGCTTTCAAGACGAGCAACGTCCGCTACAAAGAATTCTCCACTTGTCTTTGGTTTAGCAGCTGCAGCTTCCCAGCTTTGTTTCCGACCTTCGCTTATTGATCTGATGTAGGATGGGCGATGAACTTGTTCATCTTCCATCTTCAAAACGGTCTGTGGAGGCAGAGTAGTGGTTTTTAGGACCCTTGGTTCTCCCATTTCCAAATCTGGGTAATGGAATAAAGGAGGCAAACTTTTTCTGGCTTCTGCTATTCGCCTCTGCACTTCGCTCAAATCTCCACTAGGATGGTAACTTTGCCTGTGTCTTCTTTGAACTTCCACATCCTTCTTTGATTCTGACTGGGCAAGGTCACTGAAAAAAGCATCCCTTGGTGACATTGGTGTATCTACAGTAACAAGATGAAGATATTCTCCAAAGTTTTGCATATCAGGGAGACCTTTAAAAGATTCATCCCGTTCAAGACGAGACTTCTGAGCTTCAATTACAGCTTGGGTCATGCCTTTTGAAGCATCCATTTCATCTAATTCTATGGACTGTTTCTCACTTTCTCCAGCATCCAATCCATCGCCAGGATCCCTTTGAATCTTCTTGAAATCCAGTCCTCCAGTGTCAGCTGAGGAAGATGAAGAAACAGAAATAAGGCGTTGACAATTTGATGTCTGATTATCAGAGTCAAGCTTCTTCACAAGTTGAACACCAGAATTATTTCTGGTAATAGGTTTTATCTCCTCAGCAGAAGACTTCTCTGGC